GCGCTGCCGAGCTAGAGGAAGGGCAGGATTTCCACCGGGCCGCCCTGGCGGGAGAAGAAGCAGCGTGAGGACAGCGCCGGCCTGGCGGGAGGCCCCTTGCAGCCTCCTCAGAGAGGCCCCATCGCTACGGGCGAGCCCAGGCCCCTTCTCCAGGTGGCCAAAGCCCTTCCAGATGCCTCCTCATGGGGACCCCACGGGCAAGGAGGCAGCAGCACCCACCCTGCAGCACTTGGAGCCCAATCTGGGCCCGTGCTGGCCCCGATGAGCGGGGCTCGGGCTCATCGCTCCCTGGCGAGGGCACCGCCATGTGCCCCAGCCGGAGAGAAGCGGCTTGGGGCCCTCATCCCATCGGGATGCAGAGGCGCCCGCACGGGAGAGGGCGGCCGCGGAGAGGGTCGAGCTGCTGCACCCAGCGCTGCAGGACCTACCTGGTCGTGCAGGGGGGTCCCGCAGGAGCTGCAGCCTGGATCCAGGCCCTCGGCGCCGGACGGGGGGCCGCTGCTCAGCGACTTGGTTTTGGAGCAGAACTCGGGGTACTCGGAGGAGAACCGCTCATAGCCCCCTGCGAGGAGAGAGACCCGAGCGTGAGCCCAGGACAGGGCTCGGCTCCCGCGTCGCCACTAGAGGATGCTACAGGGATGGACAGCGGCCTCCAACCCGGCTCCGTGGGATGCACGGAGGACCCCAGGCCTGGGCAACCATCCCCAAGGACCACGGCTCTGCCGGGCTCCTGGCTGCCCCCGTTCGGCTCTAGCGTTTGGCCACCCCCTCAGACCAAGGCCGAGGTGGGAATGGAGCCCCTGGGAGGATGGCTTCGCTGCCAGCATCGCCAAGGGGTGAAGCTGCTGCCGGCCCCACCGCCAAGCGACGCACTGCTCCAAGAAACCTCCACGGCCTCCCCAGGATGGGGGCACGAGTTGAGGACCCCACACGGAGCAGAGGCCCCCTCGGCTCTACCAGTCCAGGCAGCAGATCCAGAGCGGCTGCCCACGGGCTCCTCAGCACAGGGGACCTGCAAGTAACCTCCCCTGGGGAGGTCTCTCTACCAAACCAGCCATCCTGACACCTCCCTGCAGCGTCAAGCCTCAAAGCCAGAGAAATGGGGCATTTTCACTACGCTGCACGGAGCCTCCCGGCACGGTTATCAGAGGCTGCAGCTTTGGGCTTTCCGTGCTGCTTCCTTAGGTGGCCGGAGCCCCGGGCCGGCCCTCAGCAAGGCTGGAGGCTCAAAGCACCAGTCCCAGCTCCCAGCCAGGCTCGAGCGTGGGCAGCAGAGCAGCCCAGGAACCCCGAGGCTCCAGAGGGACCCCAGCACCTCCGCAGCCCTCCCGGGCTTTCTCCCGCCTCCACAGGAGAGCCGGTCCCAAAGGCAGAGCCTATGCGTGCGTCAGACGGGCCTGGGCCTTTGGCACGGCCCGAGCGGAGTGACACAAGGCTCTGTGCAGAGCCCGGGCTTGCCTGACATCGCAGGGGGGCGACTCATTTGGGCAGCGCACACAGTAAGCGCCCAAAAGCTCCCTCCGGCAGCGCCCAGCACCCCAAAACATCCATTAAAAAAAAAAAAAAGGGGACAACGGCCACTCCCCCTCTTGTGCCCCCGCTAACGCGCTTGCTGCTGCGCACGCCCTGCCCTAAGCAAACCAGAACGTAGCAGGAAGCATCGCGCGGCTCCTCCAGCAGCCCAGCCAAGCAGCCCCCTCCCCGAAACAACCTCTCGGCACCCAGGTTAATGCCGACGGGGCAGGGAAAGCTCCCCGCTCCCACCCAGCCCAGGCCCCCGGGTTGGCTCTGTCCCCTCATTCCCAGCACCACCTTTAGCGCCATTCCTGGGGTGCGCCTCAGCATAGGGCCAAAGCCCTGGGCTGCCCCCCAGCCATGGGGCTGCCCCACATGCTCACAGCTGCACCCAGGGGACCCACCTCCTCTTCAGTGGCGCCCATGGGGCTGCCCCATCTCCATACGCATGGGCTCATGCCGTCTATACCCTGAACCACCACCACCACGTCCATGGGTTGTCTCCCAGCCCCACAGATGGGTCCACAGCACCACTCCCCTCCACAGCCTCCCCATGTCACATCTGTGGGGCTGCCCCCTGTCTCCACAGCCATAGGGTCACATCCTTTCTACTCCCTCAACTACACAGCCATGGGGCTGCCCCCCAGCCCTGCTCCTAAGGCTGCTGCCCTCCTCAGCCTCCCAGGGTCACATCTGTGGGGCTGTCCCCCATCTCCACAGCCATGGGGATGACCCATCCCCATGCACACGGCCACGAGGCTGTCCCTCTATACAGCCGCCCTCTGTCACATGCGCGGGGCTGCACCCTCTCTCCATAGCCATGGGGCCTCCCCATCTCTACCCCCAACCACATGGCCACGAGGTTGCCCCCAGCTGCACCCTGGGGCTGCCCCCCTCCATGT